ATTGGACACTGCAACATTTTTAGGAAGGGTCTGAGCAAATAATCTAAATGTTGCTGCTGTGATTCTCTTGATATATCTATTAGTCATGTGTTATGGTCATGCTCAGTTATAAGCTCATTTTGGAAATGAGTTATTACTCATATTACATTTAAACTGGACCATACTTTGATCTTTTGTTGATGCTTATGTACTAACATATATCTGCTTGTATTCTCAAATAGTTTCACGGCTGGGATCCGATGGTCGTTGTAGGCTTTTCGGACTGTTTCGCCAGTCTCTGTGGCTGGCATTTTCAGAAGATAGGAGTTAGAGCTCTGTCTATGTTCTGGTGTAGTGTGTGGGATAGTTGCGTATTTGTAACTGTGGGATCAGCTTTTTTGTCCTTTTCAGGAGATCTGGTGATTATGGTGATCAGGGTGCTTTTTGTTATGGGTGCATTGCTGTGATAAGGGGGGGGGGGATGATCTGTCACTGTGATTGTGTCATGAGTGCAGCTGAAGACCTGGAACCAGAAGGGTTAACTGAGGCTGAGGAGAGTGCTGAGCAATCAGATACACCTGAATTGCCTCCAGATACTCCTTCCCCAGCAGACAAGCTTCGGGCCAGGCTTCGGGGAAGACTTATGGCAAAAAGGTCAGAGGAACGCTCAAAGACTGTCCACAGAAACATCCGTACAAATAGCCCTGAGTATTGACAGGATGAAAAGGTTTCCAGCAGCTCAAGGGGCTGTTTTGCTATAAAAACAGCTCCTAGTCAGCTAAGAATTCTATGGAAGCAACAAGTCAAAATCCCTGGCTTACATCCATGCTCCTACAACCTTGAACCGTGTTCCGGACTCTGGACTCTGACCTTGGACTACTTTGTGTATCTGACTCTGGACTCTGACCTTGGACTACGTTCTGTAAGTTGGTTTGGTAATTGGATATCGGCTTTGCATTCTTGGTATTCCTGACCTTGGACTGGTTTATCGGACTTCGGCTGTTATAACCCCCGGGAACGTGACAGATTGTTGGGTGTCGTTAGGTAGTATTTTGTGTCCAGTGATCACTGGTTCTTGTGGCTGGGGAGAGTTCATTGACCTTTTTGCAGGCTGTATTTTTCAGTGCTGGGTGCCAGGCTTTATTGAGTTTTAGACTTTCTTCTTTTTTGTTGAAGCTGTGTTTGTGGATTTCAATGGCTTCCCTATATAGTCTAACATAATCATTGCTGATGTTATCCAGTACTTGTGTGTTTTGAAATAGGATTTCATGTCCAGCTTGTTTCAAGGCATATTCAGCTACTGCCAATTTTTCCAGTTGTATTAGTCTGCAGTGTCTTTCATGTTCTTTGATTCTGGTGTGGATGCTACATTTTGTGGTCCCAGTATATACCTGGTCACAACTGCAAGGTATCCGGTATTTCAGATGGTTGAGTTCAGTGCTGAGAAATAGAGCTTCACAGTTCCGATACCATAATAACCATAATCACCCAATCTCCTGAAAAGGACGAAAAGCTGATCCCACAGCTACAAATACTCAACCACCCCACACACTACACCAGAACACAGACAGAGCTCTAACTCCTGTCTTCTGAATATACCGGCCACAGAGACTGGCAAAACATTAGGAAGAAAAACCTCCAGAACACGGCCAAACAGCCTGAAAAACATACAACAACCATACTCTCCATGCCCTTACAACTGCAAAAAGACTGATTTTGCAGCACTGGTAAGATAGATGTGCACTGCCAGGAATCTAATGCAGGGGTCTCCAAACTTTTCAGTGTGAGGGCCACATTATATACTGTATGTTCCACATTTTCAAGGACCAAAGGAAGATGTGCACATGCATGTTGACACCCGCACACACTCCTGCATTCATGCATGTACACCCACCTGCATGCATGCACTCCCACATGCGTACACACACACTAGGCTGGATAAAAAGACAAGGCTGGCCAGATGTGGCCTGCTGGCCATAGTTTGGAGACCCCTGGTCTATTGGATAGAAGACAGTATAACACTGTCAATTTACAAACATATGGCACACTTTTTTGATATTTGGAAACTTTTCATAGAAGCTTATGTATCTTGTGTTTTGTTTCATTTTGTTTTTGTTTTTCTTTGGTTCTTCCTTTTTTCTATCTTTTATTTGCTTTTATAATTTTATACTTTTCTGCTTAAAACTAATGTTTTTATATATAGAGAAAGTAATCATCAAAATGAACCAGCCCATCCCCACAGCGTTCTTACCCGCACCTTTCTGGGTCCCTATCAGGGGCTTTTAAAAAAAGATACAGGTACAATTACTCCTTTGTGGTTTGATTCCAGTTTGTGTGATCATTGGGATCAAACCAAAGTGGTTCATTAGCTGTCTCTTTCGAGAAGCCACTTAATTGGAAGCTTCCTCTGGGCTCTCCTTTGGAGGGCAGAACGTTTCCCTTTAATTGTTGCTAAGGGATCAGCAATGCTGTGAAAGATCTTATTTTTAAGTGTTGTCAAAGCATCACTGATTCATTGTGTCAGTTAGCAACAATTAAAAAGAAATAGGAAGCCTTCCCTTCACTTCCAAAGGCAAGGAAGACTTAAAGGGAAAACGTTCAGTTTCTCAAAACCATTGATCATTTTTAACGATTTTGAGAAATGGAAAGTTTTCCCATTTCTTTTTCAATGGTTACTAACTGACACATGTGGATACAAAGATTGCACCATGCACCTCTGTTTGACATGAACTGCTGTCAACTGACTTAATTTATCCTGATCATTCTCACTCCAATTTGGTTTCTAGCCAAGCCCTTAGTTTAAAAAACATGATAAAGATCTGTATAAAAATGTGAATAACAGCTGGAATTCTATAAAAACAATCAGAATGCTAAGAATAGTACAGTTGCAATATAAAATATTAAGCAGAATACAATGTTATATTGTATGTTTTTCATTGCTATGATCTTGAACTAAAGCAGGTTCTGCTATCAATCCCAAGAGTGTCTGAAGTTGCCAGAAATGGTTACCAATTTTCAGCAATCACAAAAAACAAACTAACATGAAGGCCTAATGGTTAGTTATACCAGCATAATGATGTAAATAGTAGCAGTGAATTGCTACTAGGTAACGAGCTGCTGTTTGCTTCCTTTGTCATATACCAAGTCAAGTGACTGTTCTATGACAAGGGATAAAGGCAGCAACTTGTTAACTAGCAGCAATTCACCACTGTGATTTATGCCACTGCATTTATGTTGTTATAATTAACCAACAGGTTTCTGGCCTCTGCAGCAAGTAAATTTTTGCTTTAGCACAAAATTAAACTAACATCTCTATTCTGTGATAAATGTTTTTCAAGACCACAATAAAGCATGTACACACCATTATTCAAAGATTTAAGAGGCATGCATTCAAAGATTTAACAGGCACTCCATCATACATTACTCATGGTCATTTTAGCAGCTGAGAAGCTCAAAGAAACTCACAGAAACAGGTCATTTATTGAATTGTACTTCACAGTACATGAGGTAGGGAAATTGCACAAGAATGACATCTAGATCAGGAATCGGGGGGAAAGTAGATTTCCATCTACTGATGGATCTTTAGGTGATCTGCAGCAGAGTAGGATGGGTGGCTGACTCACATTTTTTTTATCATTGTTATCGTCATTGACAACCACAAAATAACTCTTCTCACATTCTAAATTCCATTAACAAACCACAGAACAGATCTAGTAAAACACAGAACAGAGGTCTGCCATTTTGATCTCACACGTACCTCTATTTCTTCATGACATAAATTCAAGCTGGTCTGTAAGTGGTGGCTGCTTTATAATTAATTTTGCCACCACTCACATAAGCAAAGATTTGTATTTAAAGTTCTTTCTGCATGCTTCTCTCTCCACACAAGAAATCTACAAAAATAAGTAGCATGCTCTTCTGTGTCTTCATGCTAGTGAGATATTTAGTCTTTCAATTTTGGGTGATATATAGCAACTTCTCTACACGTTATTCACTCTCAGGTTGAAACTGATTTATATTGATCCATAGGCTTTCTAGGTAGATGAGGTGTTTAAGGAATGGTCCAAACAGTTCCCTTCCCTTCCAATGAGTTTCCATAGCCAGGAGCCCAGGTCTTCTGAGTTCTACTCCATCACAATACCCACTACACTAATTTTTCTCTCAATTATTTAAAAACACACCATTTAAAGAAACAAAGGCTACAAAGGGAAGAGCTGGTGGAGATAAAACAACATGTTCTCCATCTTCCTGCCACAGAACCATTGCAAGTGCAAAGGGCCAAGATGAAATAAATACATCACAAAAGGAAGTCTACAGATAAAACAGTTGTACATAACTCAATCAGTGCCTGTAACACAGTCAATGCTTTAAGGGGAGTGGACACACACTCATTCCTCTATAGAATGAGAGGAATGGGGAACGAAAAATCTGTGGTTTTTGTTGTTGTTGTTGTTGGACTAACCCAAATTGACTATGCTAGTGCAGGGTATTCAGGGACTCATGATTCAAATAAATAGCTTTTTATGTTTGTGACAACAGTATAAATTGTAAAATGGCATAGCTTAGGAAAGCTTTTTTAAAAAAAATTACAGTCCCCAGAATCTCAGTCAATTTTCATACTAAGTGGAGATTTCTGGGTGTTCTAGTCCAAAATGTAAGCATTTCCAAGTCCAGTAAAACATATAATCTTCATTCTGCTTCCTTTGACAATGTTTATTACTCACAATGTTCAACAACCAATTAATGCTCAACTAATCAAGGCAATTGTGAGGCACATAACTCAGCCCCTTCATAGCTCCAATACAAAAAGCCACATTGTTATTATACTGTACCTTTTTCATCTCTTTACAAACTGAAACAAATTATATACCTTTAATAGCAAGATGTATAAATAATAACTGGAGTTTTTCATCTACATTCTAATCTTCTTGTTCTGTTTTCGCCATGGAACAAGAAAAACAGAAAGAAATGTGGTGGAGCGTAAGTGTGGGAAATATACAACTAGAGCTTAACAATGTTACCTGTAGGCCTTCAATGGCTAATCGAAGCATACTGGGTGTCAGTTTAGAAGCCTGTTTGAAAGTAAAGTTGCTCCAGTCTATAATCAAAACAAAGCCATTTACTTGAAGTTCCGGATCCTCTATCATGGCTTCTAAGGAAAGAAGTATGGCACGCAAAATATCCACCAGTGTGTACCTGCCAAAATAAGAGGAAAAATCAAGTTAAGCTGCTAAGCAACAATCATAAGACACCAGAATTAGTTCTTATTTTACTACTGAGTTTTGAAATAATGAATGTGTGTCATAAAGGCTGTATGTGGTGAATTGCAGATGGAGATGAAACTGTAAATACACAGTATGGCTGCAGCTGAACAGAAACACTGAGAGACTGCCTGGGAGTTCACACATGTCACTGAAGAATGAAATTAATGAAATTAAGAATAAATATTACAGCATCCAGACACCGTGTATCTACCTAGACACCTGTTGAACTACCGCTTGAGCCAGGTGAGTAAATAACTATAAGGATAACTTCCAAAAATTTTACTTACACTGCAGAAAAGGTGAAGTGATTGCTGCTTAAATTACAGCTGCAACCTAGTTATTTTGGTTCTGGAAAAAGAAATTAATTACAAGTAACTAGGAAGGAAGGAATATAACAACTACTCTACTTTGAGCAGAAAAATGATTTGGTCTGGCCCTACTTGGCAGGATGATTCAAGGAAGTTCTCTAGCAATTGGATTCATATATTCAACACATTTGTTCCCTGTCATTGATACCTCCTTGTCTTCCAGAGAGTTTGGAACAGCTTACATGTTGTTCCAGATAGGTCAGATCTATTTTGCTTCAGTAGTTCAAGTACAGCACGATACTTCAGGCTCTTGTAAATTGCTGTTCCATGGACAGTTCTCTATGTTAATCTAGAACAGCCAGTGAATTGTCACTCACCCAGACAAGTGTTCATAAACCTGTGTATACCATATACTTTATGTACAGGATATGGTACACACAATCCTATACTCAGTTGTGTGTACCCTATACTGTATTTTAATGCAGAGGCACAATCTACTCATATCATTTAGGAGCCAGGTCTACTGTACTTAATGGGGCTTACTTCTGAGCAGTGAGTATAGGACTGATCTACCAAGGAAGTTTGTATCCAGAAAAATGTCCTCATATCAGCGGCAACCTATGGTCCAAGAACCCTGAAATGGCAGAGGACTCCCTTCCCTGACTTCAACCTTGTGGCTAAGGAACTCTAGGAACAACAATAAATATATATAAGTATATATAGTAAAAAAAGAGTAATTTTTCCAAAATCAGGATTTCTCTGCGCACTAAAAAAATGAACTACAAATCGCACTACCACTGACTGGGACTTCTTGCATCGAAATTATCCACTATTATGGCCCTTCTGCATGTTCTTCTGCATGTTTCCATTGCCAGGCTACAATTGCATTATTTTCATTTGCTAGGCTGTCATGACAGAGTAGCAACAATGGTTGTAATCCTGCTTGTCTTCAAGTTCATAGAAGGTAATGGCATTTTAGGAGTGTTAACATTTTTTCAAGGTTGCAACTAGAGCTGGCATATTCATATTCATCTCCCAGGTTGTCCACTTACCACCTGTGACATTACCGTTTGCTCCATGCCAATTGAAGAAGCAACCTAGCTGGGGCTTCCTGTCCTGCTGACCGTTCAGCAGCTAAGTGGGGAAATCTGTTATTCTGCTTCCTCACCGGATTGGTCAGCAATGCAGGGAGGCGGGGAAGCCCTGGTCAGGTTACTTCCGTGATTGGAGCGCGATGAACAACAACAGATCCACATGGTCACCACAAGCAGTAAGTGGACAGCCAGTTCTGGGGGAGGGTCCAATCAGCCCGGCCACCTGTGATGATGATATTCGTATTCATCTCCCCTGGGAGACAAATACGAATATCCCATCTCTAGCTGCAACATCTGTTAATCCAGAAAGTACTTCAAAATAGATGTCAATACACAATCTCTGAGGGACATCTCAATTTTCTTAAATGGCCTTTGTCCTGAATCAAATAATATTAGAGGGAAAAGCTCCATTTCACAATATCACACACATTTTTTAAAAAAACCAATGGAATCACCATAGTCCACTTTTGCTCTTTTTAAAAATAAAACCTTCAATGCTGAAGCCACAGAACTTTCAGCTGCACATGATGGTTGGAAGTGTAGGTATCACAGATTTTCATCTTTTGTTTTTGAAATGTCAGCTCTGGATGAATTATGATGAAGGAAACCTGCATTAAAGCCTTCACTCAGCAAGAAACTATTTGCATAAAAGGAACAATTTGCATAAAAGTTCATCTCAAATTCTCTCTAGATCTGAAATAGCCAAAATTTATTGAACCAGATAGGCAGAAGCAGTCATCATTGTTATTTATGTTGGCAGCAATAGGGGGTGGGGGGAGAGGGAAGAAAGTAAATTTGAAGTCCTTCGTAGGTTTCTGACAGACTTCATTATCTTATTCCGCTGAGCAATCCACTGTAACACACGTTCCATTTTGAATTAGACCTTCTAAGACTTAAAGCATTGGCCTGAAGTAGGGCTGAAATGACATTTTGCATCTGCTTGGAATCTGTTAACAGAATTTGAATTCTGAACAGTTTTACTATTTTAGTTCTGATTGTTGACTCTCAGGGATGTTTAAATCTAAAATGTTGTGATTTTTTTCTGAACACAATATGTATTAATATAGAAAATGTAGTGCTTTTATGGAAAGATGCAAATTCAGACACACATCAAGCATCATCCATGATGGAAATTCTTGCAAGAGAATGGAAATTCGGGAGAATATTGTCTTCTTTTGTGGTTGGTTTTTGTTTTGTATTGTTTTGCTTTGCAAGCAAATTGGAGTTAGACAAACATGTTAAAGATTTTCCCCCTTTGTTTTAGATCAAACCATAGTTTTTCAGATCTCTGAAACATCTGCCTTACCTAGTTCCTAGATTATAAATTTATTACAACAATTTGTGAAGCCTGAAGAAATCTCTTCCATTTTCCTTTTGAGGCTCCTCCATCTTTGCACTATGAAATATGGTTCTTATTATCTCACAGCCTGATTACTTCCACCTATCCAGTTCCTTTAACAACAACTATTGTTAATAACTACTGAAAAATTGTTGTTGACAGGCCTAAACATCTGTAATAACACCATACTCTACGCCTAGCAAATTAGCAAAAGGCTACATCAACAAAAGATGCTACTGGAAGAGTAGCTCTGCTTAAGCCTTCACAGGTTCTGTTTTACCAGTGGAGTCATTAGTTCTTTTTCTCAAGGTACTATATGTTATCCTTTAACATTTCTCAATTACTTGTCAAGTTACGCAAAGTAAGGAGCAAGCCAATCCGATCTTACATGTGATTCACTGTGTGAGATTCACAAACACTACAGTGTATGTGTGCACACATGCACATGTGCATGCATGCGTGCATTTGTAGGACAAAATGCCACAACTGTTATACCCTTCCTGGTCTCTGTTTTTCTCAGATAAACCATATCAGATATCAACAAATTAAAAAGTGAAAGCAAGAATCTCTGCTTTTCAGTAACATGTAAAAGATATTTACCAATTTTTAATGGCATATCAGGTGTCTTAAAACATACGGCACAGAGCACACACGTTGCTTCTTCTGTCTCCATCCCCAAATTGTCTGATACACTATTGCAAAACATGGGGCACTGCTAATGTTACAACCCCTCCTTACACTTGGATCTGCAAACAGAGCTTTCCTCTGCTCTGTCATATACTCCACTGAAGTAGATCAGCTTGATTCCTTTATATGTCTTCTCTTGTCTACCATATAGAGGCAACTGTGGGACCAGCTGGGGTCTGGAAATCTGCCTGCTGTGGACTGTACAGAGACTCAACTGAGCCCTGCAGGACTTTAAGAGACTGAAGACATACCTTGAGACTGACTGCTCAATTTCCTGTTACAAGATATTTTTATAGTTTCTATGTTGTTGTAGCTGCTTTTGATCTGTGTTTTAAAGCACACTGGTTTATGTTGACCTCTGGCTAGGAAAAGTACCTGATACATTTTAAAATAAATAAACTCATTAGCAAGGATAACAATTTCAGGTTCTGAAATAAAGGACCATGATAAAGGATCTGTTTGTTTTTCTATGTTACTTTTGAATGAATAGTAATGGCATTTTGCCACAGCTTAGATACAACCCTTGTCTCAGTTTAGTCCTATAGCTTCCATTGAACATTTTCTTCTAAAACATGTTTTCTCTTCTGCTTTGACTCCCATGTAGCATTTCTAATAAATGAAGATATGCACCATGGTGGGTAATTGTCACACAAGCTTCAATGAGGACCACAGAAATCTAGCTTCAAATCTCCACTGGGACCAGGAAATTCAATGGGCCACTGACCGTCCTTGAGCCTTGCTCTTCCTCATAGGCTGGATAGTTCAGTGGTTTAGGTACTGAATTCCCTGCTATGCCTCCTGTGAGTAGAGCCAGCCTGTGTGACTTTTGGCAAGATGTACAGTCCCAGGGCACCCTCAGAAGAGAATGATAAATCACCTTTCTTTACCTGGAAAACTCTAAAAAGGGCTGCCATGAGTCAGATTTGACTTGACGAAGCATGATTATTATTATTTATCTCACAGGAGTGTTGTAAGGATAAAAGAGGGAAAGACCCTTGAGCCTCTGCAATGAAAATAAGACATAAAAATAAATCCTGTCCTGAGAGATGGGGCGAGGGTGGCATAAAATCCTCCTTTTCCAGGCTTCTTTAGCAAAGAGATTGCTTTCGCTGTGCGATGTTGCTGCCCACCATGCACTTGGGCTGAAGTGCCTTAGCTAGGGGCAAATATGTCCCTCTCTCTGATGGGATGACAGATTTCCCGTATTTCAGCCCATTAGAGGCATGGTTATGTCACACCCAGAACTATGATAAGCTTTAGAGATATTAAAACTCCAATGATATACGGAATCTCATTGCAGTGGCATTGATTACGCAGCTTTCCTGCTTCATTTGATCTTTTTCTATATAAAAAAGCACTGCCTATGGTGAAGAAACACATTTCAGCTAATCTAAAAGTGAAGAAAGCAAACAATCTGCTCTCAAAGTTCCAAAATGCTGCAAAGAAATATGAAACAGCAATCCATTAGGAAAAATGATCAACAATATGCAAATGAGCATCACTAAACATCATGATCTGTGTCATACTGCTTGTACCCCAATGTCCACACTCAAATAGGTATAACTGTTGCAGACATTGGCTTAAATCCAATTGTTAGTCCTAACTACAGTTGACCCACTGAATCAATGGGGCTTACCGAACATGTTAACATGCCCCATTCATTCATTGGATTTATTCAAATTGGGACTTAGAGCTGGATTTAGCCCATTACAACATTTCTGCTCTTAAAGCGAGATTTTTGTACCTGCTATAATATTTTATTGGGTTCTATTGTCTCAGTGTGCTTGCAGAACTTTCCTGCTGTTCCATCTTTTTCTCTCTCCATCACTGCATTGCCCAATCCAGCCAGGTAAAAGTGAGAATCTGTTCTAAATGATTCTTCCTAGTACAGGGTTGTACGTGGGGAAAATGCTTGAAGGACTCCTCTCTAGCTTCCTACTGTGATAGAAGATTTGGATTAGATCACCAGAATGACAGACGGGCACACAGAGCAGTTTGGACCAAACAAGATGTCTTATGCCAGACATTCTGGTGATCAGGAATTGAATATTACCATCTTCATTGCATCACCGGAACCCAACAGGATATGATGTGAAACGCATACACTGCAATACTGTGGTAGTTATATGAGTGCCTCAGTCTCTTCCAGCCTCTCCCCAATTTGTTAGGAGCTGAACTCTTCCTTTACCTGCTTTGGTCCCAGTTGGCAGCAAACAGGACGAGGATCTTCCTGCCATAATGATCCAGGTTGGCCAGCCCTCCCGGGAAGCCATCCTTGAGTGCCTGCTTGATGCCTGGATCCGTGGCTTTGAAGCTCTTGAACATATCAAGGTTCTGCTGACGATACTCAAAGTACTGAGCCAACAAGCGGAATGCCTCAAAGTGCTGGAACTTTCTGGCCCGAAGGAACCGAAGGATGAAGGCATCGTCTGTGCGGAGAAAGCCAATGTCGGGCCGGGTGATCACCATATCCCGTACCTCCTGGATGTCCTGGTGCAGGGTGTCTGGGTTTTCATTTAATTCCAGCCGTGCTTTCTCCAAAATCTCTGGGGACAGACCTGCTTGCAAATGAGTCATGGTGCCCCTCTGTCCTATACTGATCCCTCCACTCTTGTAAGGAAGAAGGGGGTGCAACCCTGGATGTGCTAGATGCTCTTTTAAAAAAAACTAAAATAAAAATTAAAAAAAAAAACCAGATCTTTTCTCCAGTAGTCCTTGTCTGATACACTCAATTCCTGTCTGCCTTTTCCATCTTGTCCTGGCCCATCCTGTGATTTTGCTGAGCCTCTGCTTCCCTTTCAAAAAAACCTCAACTGCCACCCTTCCAGCCCTCTTCACTGCTTGGAGTTGTGGTAAAATGACAGAATTGAACCCAGCTGCTATCCTTCTGCTGCAATTGCCTGCTGATTGACAGAAATAATGGCTCTGGCAGGGTCCAGGCACACAGAGCTCCCCCCCCTTTTTTTTAATAATGCAGGCAAGCTATGGGATTCATTCCCACCTACACAGTATAATTTTTTGGGTTAAGCACTTTTGGGGTTGGGTCCTAAAATGCTCTAATCAACATGTTCTGTTAAGCAACATGATGACAACGAGCAAGGCCAAACCAGGAGCACACTGAATTTCTCTGGCTTCGGAGTGATGCTAAGAGATACTGGGTTTTTTCTCTCTCTCTCACACACACACACACACACACACATTCCCACCCCAATGTTCTGCGCAAATCAGTGATCTCACCCTTTGGTGCTGCCGACAAGCTATAGTTAGAAGAGCAGCATCAATAAATAAGACCGCAATTTAAACCCCTCCACAACCCCACCCGGAGGCTCCCGTACTGATAGAGGCAAAGCGTGATTGGGTTCCACAGGCATGCAACTGGTCCGCTGCAAGGCTGGGCCGGTTTTCGTTCCCAACAAGGTCCCTCTTTTCGCACCCTTCTCGAGCTCGGGATCCTTTCTCCCCTCCGCCCCGATTCCCCTCCTACATGCACAGTGATCTCATCGGGTACCACCACCATCAGCAGCAGCAGCAGCAGCAAGACGGTCGCACGTGCTTCTCCCGTTCGGCTCCCAGGTCTTTTTTGGGGAAGCGGAGAAAGGCTGACCGAGAAAGCCTCTGAGCCTCCCCTCTCCTGCTGCCGCGCCCCCCCCGCACCTCTCCGCCGCCCAAACCCTCACTTGATCGTCGCTTCAGCCGCCCTGCCGAAGGGGGTGGGGTGGGCGGGAGGGATGCAAAGAAAGGAAGGAAGAAAGAGAAGCCCACTCCGCAGTCCACCCGAGAGGCGAAGGCAGGCGTCCAGAAGAGGCGCGTTAATTCCCTACCAGCAGCCAAAACATACACAAGGCAATGCGGCACCTTCCGGCATCCGTCAGCGAGAGCGGCGGCGGCCGCAACTCCTAGAGGCGCGTTAATTCCCTACCAGCAGCCAAAACATACACAAGGCAATGCGGCACCTTCCCTTCCGGCACAGCTAGAGCGGCGGCGGCCGCAACTCCTCCCGATGGGCAGAAGGAGCGGTCGGGAAGAAGCGGCCGAAGCCAAGGACGTGCCCCTGGGGCGGCGGCGCTCCTCTCCCTCCCCGTCCTTGCCCTGGCCCAGTGACTGGGGCCGCCGGGACTCCGACTGGGCGTGGGGGCCGGTGAGGAGGAAGCCCTTCCCTCTCTCCCCGCGCCACCTGCTCCGCCACCGGTCTGGACGAGGAGGAGGTTGCCGGGCGACTGCTGGTGGGAGCCTTTGTGTTCGCCTGCCTGGCGGGAGAGCAGCCGGTGCGCGACTCAGGCGGCGGTGGGCTTGTTCCGCCAGGCGGTCGCCGCCGCGCCGCTTCGAGCCGCTTTACGTCAATCAAGGCTCCCTGGGCGGCCGCCGCGGCTGCTGCTGCTGCTGCTGCGAGTTACTCCAGAGCAAAATCCCCCGCCCGCCCCCACGCATTGTTATTACCCAGCACGAGTTTTTCTGCCACCCTCCCCCTTTCTTC